GCTGGATCGAATGGTATGTCTATTTCTAGCTTTCTGAGGAAGCGCCATATCATTTTCCAAAATGGTTGTATCATTTTGCATTCCCACCAGCAGTTTATTGAGTTTTGGTGAAAGTTTACACAGCAAGTTAGGTTCCCATTTGACAATTTCCACAGTTTTTCAGTGACATTAGATACATTTATCACAATGTGTTAACATTCCTTGTGTTCAGTTTGTTCTTTTTCCAGTACTCTAGTTTCCCTGCCCTCTTTATCTTCTCATCTTTGCTTTTGAGAAATTGTTGACCTTTTGGTCTCATCCTTGACTTTCACTGTTTGCTCTCTAGTGTGTTTCTGGTGGTCTTGTATGCTCCTATGACTATCACAATCATTGTTCTCAATCCTAGCTCTTGGCATCTGCTAAGCCCCAGTCCTCAGTTTCTATGTATTGAACCATTACAAAAGCATCATAAAAATCAATGTCTAAAGTCACCCTACTTTCCTTCTCTCCCCACTGTTTTTCCGATGTTTATGTGATTTAATGGGAACAAAATCTATGCAAATTTATCAGTCATCAGGTTAGAAAAATTAATGTCATCTTTGAGTTATTGTTATTCCCTTACGAAACTTAGGTCTGGAAGCAGGGTGGTAAAGGAGAAAAAACAGGCTTTGTTTCCATATGAATACCATTTATTTACTAGAATGTAAAGTCCACAAGTGCAGGGATTTTTGTCTCTTTTGTTCGTTGATCTACCTAGAATATTTTCTGGTACACACTAGGCATTCAGTAAATATTTGTAAATATAGGAGTAACCATGGTCAAGATACTTAAACTTAGAGTCTTTGTTCCTTCATCCTTAAAAGTTGGAATAATATCTATCTCATAGGATTGATATGAGGGTTATATTAAATAATGTACACACTTGATATGTAGAAAGCATTTAGTGGATGCTTTTGTTAGTTTCCCCTGGTGGCACAGTGATTAAGCACTCGGCTGCTAACTGAAAGGACAGCAGTTCGAACCCACCAGCTGCTCCGCAGGAGAAAGATGTGGCAGTCTGCTTCCTTAAAGATTTACAGCCTTGAAACTCCTATGGGGCAGTTCTATGAGTCGGAATTGACTTGACAACGGTAGTGGATTTGGTTTTTGGTTTGTTTTTTTCCAATTCAGTGTGCATCAAATCATTCCAATCCTAATATCACAGACGTGGTTTAGATCCTCCATCTCCTAATTTCCCCTGCCTTTATTTACTCCCTTTCTTAAGTGTAGTGCCTGCCAAGTTTTGAGAAAAATATGTCTTTGTTATCTAGTGCTGCTTGTAAATACCGCAAGTGGATGACGTTAGCAAACAGAAATTTATTTCCTCACAGTTTAGGAAGCTAAAACTCCAAATTCAGGGTGCCGGCTAAGCCTTTCTCTTTCTGTCAGCTTTGTAGGAAGGTCTTTGTCTCTTCTGAGCTCCTGCTCCTGGACAATCTTCATGTAGGTTGGCATCTCTCTTCCCCATCTCTGCTCGGCTCACTTGTTTAATCTCTTTTATATCTCAAAAGAGATTGACTCAAGATACACCCTACACTAATGCTGCCTTATTAACATAATAAAGACAACCCATTCTGAAATGGGAGTATAACCACTGGCATAGAGTTTAGGATTTACAGCATAGTTTAGGGGGATATAATTCAATCCATAACATTCCACCCTTTGTCCCCCAAAACTTCATGTTCTTGCCACATGCAAAACACATTCACCCCATCACATCATCCCAAAAGTCTTAAATCGACTCCAAGTCCAGAATCTCATCTTCTGAGTAATTTAAATCAAATACAGGTGAGACTTTAGGAGTATTCCACCCTGGGACAAAATTCCTCTTCATCTGTGAACCTGTGAAATCTAGAATACAAGTTATCTGTTTCCAAAGTACAATGGTGGAACAGGCAGAATGTAGGCATTTTCATTACAAATGGGAGAAATTAGAGGGAAAGAAGGGATAACAGGTATCAAGCAACTCTAAAACCCAGCAGAACAATTTACATTAGTTCTCAAGGCTTAAAAATAATCCTCTGTTTTTTGGGACCACCTGGGCAATGGCCCTGCTCTCTAGACTCTGAGTGTCGGCCATGCCATCTGGATTCTTGATGGAGCCCCTGAGCCCTAGGCTTCAGCTCCGTCCTCCAGGCGCACTGGGACAGCAGCTCTGCCCCCTCAGCTTTGGGCAACCCTATTCTAGTCCGTCTGAGTGGTAACACCATGCCCTTGGCCCCAGCAGGCCCTGTTCTTCTGCCTCTTGGGCATGGCAGCTCCATCCCCTCAGCTTTGGGCAATGGCCCCATTCTCCTGGCACTTGTGAACAGCAACCCTACACTCTGGAGTCGAGTTGCTGAAGATCTGTCTCTGAAACCTAGGAGACTGTGACCCCACCCTTTGAAACTCAGCCGGCCATGATTCCACCTTTTGAAACTTAGGCAGCCCTCCTTCCCATCATCCTTCCAACAGTTCTGCTAATCTCTGAACTGCTCCAGGGATAGGTCTTTTCTTTTCTTGGAGGACAACAGATGTAGCTTCTTTGGCCTATTCCTGCCTCTAGAATTCCAAAAGGCAGGCAGCATTCTTCTTTCCTTTCGTTCTTTCTCTGTGCTCTTCAGCCTAAGCTGATGGGTTTTCTGGTGTGGTCGTTGGTTAGATCCATCAGTCACAGGCTTAATCTCTTTAACAAAGGTTGTGCAGCCACGTCCTTGGTGAAAATTCTAGGACACGTGTCCTTAGTTTGTACAACAGAATTTTCCAAATCTTTAAGTTCTACTTTCGTTTTGCACAGTTCATTTTTAAGTCCATCTTTTTCGTCTCCCATTTTACTATAAAAGCGGCATGAGAAACCACATGGCCCCTTTAAGATCTTGCTTAGAAATCTCATCGGCAGGATCTCCAAGTTCATCACTTACAAGTTCTACCTTCCACCAGACATTTGAATATAACTCGGACAAGTTTTTTGCCACTGCATAAAAAGCATCTCCATTCTTCCATTGTCCAGTCACATGTTCTTCATTTTTGTTTAAAGCCTCACCGGAAGCACATTTAACGTCCACATTTCTAGCAACATTCTGTTGCTGGCACCATATGTATTCCGTAAGATGATAAGAGACTTTGTCTATAGCTCTCCTCACTTTTTTCTGAGCCCTCATCAGAATCGCCTTTCACGTCCATAATTCTACCAGCAGTCTCTTCAAGGCAATCTAGGCTTTTACTATTAGGCACCTTAAAACTCTTCCAGCCTCTACCCATTACCCAATTCCAAAACTGCTTCCACATTTTAGGTATCTGTTAGAGCAGCAACCCAATTTTCCAATACCAAATTCCGTCTTAGTTATCTAATGCTGCTATAACAGAAATAACCACATGTGGATGGCTTTCACAAACAGAAGTTTATTTTCTCACAATTTAGGAGGCTTAAAGTCGAAATTCAGGGGCACTGGCTCTTGGGGAAGGCTTTCTCTCTCTCTTTGCTTTGTAGGAAGGTCTTTGTCTCTTCTGAGCTTCTGCTCCTGGACGGTCTTCATGTGGCTTGGCATCTCTTTTCTCCGTCTCTGCTCTGCTCACTGGTTTAATTTCTTTTATATCTCAAAAGAGATTGACTCAAGATGCAGCCTACACTAATCCTGTGTCATTAACATAACAAACACAATCCATTCCAAAATGGGATTATAACCACAAGCATAGAGGTTAGGATTTACAACACATGTTTTTGGGAGACATAATTCAATCCATAACATGTTATTTTGTTTTGCTTATGCTTCAGAGTGTATACTTGCTAGCCACTGGCATGTCTTTTTTTTTTTTTGCTTCATATTTGTGTTCTTTGCCCATTTTTTTAAAGTAGGTTTTTATATGTATGTATTTAGAGGTTTTATTATATTAAAAATATTAATCTTTACTCCTGATGTTGGAGTAGACAAAGATTTCTTAAATAGTGCATGGAATTAGCAACCGTAAAAGAAGATTGATGAGTTGGCTTCATTAAAATTAAGAACTTCCTTCTCATTAAAAGGCAACTTTTAGAGAGAAAAGGCAAGCTGCAGATTGGGAGAAGATACTTGCAATATATACATCCGACGAAGGACTCATGTAGAATACATAAGGAACGCCTAGAGATTTGAATCCTTTTTCTGTCATAAGTGTTTTTTCCATGTTTTCTGTTTACAGCTTCTAACCCTGTTTTGTTTTTGCCAAATCAGAGGTTTACATTTTTAAGGCTGTTAATTTACATTTATGGTTTCTAACTTGAGTCTGTTCAATGTAAATTTATACAAATATTCACCCATGTTTGCTTCTCATACTTTTATTGCTTTGGTTTTTACAGTTAAATCTTTAATTTTGAAGGGTTGATTATCGTGGTGAAAAGTACTCTCATATTTACTCTTTCTAAGAGCCTTATGAAGGAAGTATTATTACTCCAGTGTTAGAGTTGGATATAGATTGAAGAAGTAACTTACCGAAGGCTGCATACTTAGTACTATAGGAAGCCAGAATTTAAACTTAAGTCTTTCTGTTCCAGCATCCAGACACTTTCAACCATAACTTGCTACTCAATCATAGTTGGAAAGTCATAGTTAAAGCCCTGAGTCACTAAACACAGTTTTTTTCTGGAAAGTATCTAATACATTTAAGAGGGATTTTCATCAAAATATCATTAGACTTTTAAAACTTGGGTATATAAAACCAGGGGGTGCTGGTACTCACAGTGCTTTTGTGCCTATTAGAAAAGAGCACCATTACCTCTGTATAGTCTCAGCCTCATGGATTTTGGCTTTTGTTGCCTGAGCTGGGCACCTGTGTTCAGCTTACCACCTACTCAGCTGTACTTAGTGACCCTATTTAAAAGAAGAGACTTCAGGGCCAGATGAATGAAGTCCACATGAGAGAATTTCACATTTCTCTATCAAGAACTTCAAGTAGTGTTTGCATGTAGTGATTTATTAATCAAAGAGTAAATATTTTCTAACTTTTTTATTAGATTTATCATGAGTGCGGCAACACTAGTAAACTTAATTTTACCTTTTTCTTCATTTACTCAGCACGTCTTTATTGTGCATGTGCTATGTGCCAGGCATTGTGCTAGGCACTTGAACTTACTTGCTTATCAGTAATCAAAACAGACAAAGAGTGTTTGTCGAGCTTACTTTTGAGCAGGGGGAGATAAATAATAAATGAATTATTCTGTATGTTAGAAAGTAAATGCTATGAAGAAAACAAAAGTAGAGCAGGGAAAGGGATTTGATGCGTATGTGGGGGTAGTTATTACAGAGGGCAGGTTTTGCTATTATAGAGAGTGATCAAGGTAGACCACACTAAGAAGGTGAGATGTGAGCAAAGATTAAAGATGGCGAGGGAGTTAGTGGAGCTCTAGGAGAAGAGCATTTCAGACAAAGAGGACATCTAAACCATAGAGCAGGCCCAAAGGCAGGAGCATCCCAGATACGTTTTGAGTAACAGCAAGGAGGCTAGTGTGGCTGGAGGAGAATGAGCGAGAGGGAGACTCAACGGAGTTCCAAGAGCTGGGGCTCCGTGATGGTATGACCTTTGAGGTCACTGCAAGGACTTTGGCTTGTCTTCTGAGTGAAATAGGGAGCCACTAGAGTGTTCTGAGCAGAGGAGTGACCTTATCTGACTTCTAAAAGGATAGCTGTGATTGCTGAGTCGAAAGTAGACTGTAAACGGGCAAGTGTGAAAATAGAGACGACACGGGTTTAGAAGGCTGTTGCAGTAACCCAGCTTGAACCAATGAAGTTGGCAGTGAAGGTGATAAGAAACCATCAGATCTAGTATTTAGAAACTATTCATCAACACTTTTTTTTTAATCTGTTTTCCAAAAAAAATTATTTTTATTCCTTTCCAGACACAAATCTTTGTTTTAAAAACTGGGTGAAAAAGGTGTATATTTAAAGGGTATCTGAAATATGCTTGCAGAGCTTAATGTTCTTGTCTGTTTTCTTTTTTGTGTTCTTTGAGAAAATAGATGGCTTTTAGAGAGCAACATCTTAGTGTTCCTTCAAAGCACAAATGATTTTAAAAGCTAGTGTTTTGAATAATTTTGTATAAAAATTGGTTTCTTAATACATTGTCTTTATTTGCACAAGCTTTGCCACAGGAAGTCTACAGAAAGTTGTCCAAAGGTAAAATACATTGTTGCCAGTGACATTCTTGTGATCTCTTGTGACATTTATAGTGAATATGTATAATACTAATTTACTTCACAAGATGGGGAGATGTAAGAATCCCTTAATAGGTTTAAAAGGTATTGCAGTTACTCTGGGAGAAAAGGATAAATGTCAGAATAATCTAATGCTAAAAACCTTTCTTTTAACTTGTGCAGACTTTAAATCAAACAGGAGAGCCTTGTGTTCTGGTGGAGTAGGTGGTTTGCCTGTACAGTTTTATGTTAAGAGCTAACAAAGACTTCTCCTTCCTACTATTAATAGTTACTGGTTTCTTTTAGGTTAAGACCTTGTTTCTGTTTAAATGCACATAGCCGTAAGAAGGAATAACAGAGAACACTGTTTTCATTCACTAATACCATATGGTAAATTTATTTATGAAACTTGGTAATTACATGCAAAGGCTCTGTAGAAATTGAACAAGGGTGAAAAAGGTAGGAATCTAAGTAGCTGAGGCCATGGGCATCTTTGCAGTGGTGTTCAGAAAATTGAGATAGAGAAGTACAAAAAGAAACTTAAATATATCACAATTAATTTCCGGTTAGCAGCATATATAATAAAAATAAGTATTTTTAGCATAGATGAGGGAAAACCCTCATATATTCAGGATGTTGGGGAAAGCTTAAATATCTGTATTAAGGTACAAAAGAAGATTGTTGAGTATAAAAATATCTTTTTATTACTGAAATATTTCTAAAATTTTTAAATACTTAAGAGCAGTTTTTAAGATGACTCTGACCTCTTAATGTAAGAAAGCTCCTTTGATAATATCAATTCTCCGCTTTTGCAGTTACTGCTTTTGAATATATTATCTAATTATTTTGTTATTCTTCATATTTAGCAAGTTTTTTGGTAGGTTCAACAATCTTTAGGAAAACTAAGTAATAGGAGTATAATTTATAGGTTGACTATCCTCAGAATTAACTTTTTTTTCTTTCCTCAGAATGAGCTGTCTGATACACGTGCAAAATTCCACGTACTTTTTCTTTTCTTTGTGTCTGCAATGTTCTTCATCAGCGTCCTGTCACTTTTCAGCTACCACTGCTGGCTAGTTGGAAAAAATAGAACAACAATAGGTCAGTAGGTTAAATAAATCATAATTATTTAGGAAATTGACTGCAAGTGAATATGAAATCTAGAGAAGGACTATAGTCAAGTGATAATGAAGTATTAAATAGTTGTGTTAAAATTAACTGGCTGAATAGGAACAATGGGTACGTAATGTAAATGTTAACTATCTTGAGGAAGGTTGAGAGATTGACTTTTATGTATTTTTTCAGTAATGCATTGTAGATGAAAGTAGAGAAATAAATAAAAGAGGTTTCGTCCATTTATAGAATGTCTTCTCAAAATCAATCTGCAAAACAGTAGATGTACACACCGTAAGCAGGTTCATTCTCAGATAGCAAAGGCTAGTTTTAAATCCTTAATTACAGCTTATATTTTAGCTAAAATATCAACAGTATAATTCATATATGTTCTTTACTTTTTTCACTACAATTTATTACACAATTGACTGACATGTTTCATGATTTTGAGGCTAGGATTAGTGCTGTTGACATGCTTAATCGTTTCCATCTTGTATCATTTGTCATTGAAACTTATGTCTTGTATTATAGTATCAGAGTTTATTTTCTTTTTTTTTGCTCATTTTAAAAATAAAACTATAGAGGAAGAATTAAATAAGGTATTCAAATAATTGGACAGACGTTTTCTGTACAAAGATGATGGCGTTGTTCATACTGAACTGTTGCCATATAATCAGCTGTAATTTATTTATTTATTGACTAATGTACCAATATACAAATTAGGGATTTGTCATTATAATGTTTTGTAAGAAAGTTAAAGACTACCTGCCATCAAAAGCCATATATCTGCCAGGAGAATTGGAAGGGTACAATTTTTAAGATGGATGAAGGTCTTTTTAGGGAGATTTTTAGAATAATCTTATATTTAAATAATTTTAATCTTAATTTGTTCCTAAAACATGTAACTTATGAGGATCTTCCATTTTAAGGATTACTTGGCCCTTGCTTCTCCGGCTAACCCTCTCACTGTCGAATGTCTTCCAGTTCCATCATGCTTTCATTTATTTTCAGTGTGGATAAACTTCCTTAGACCATTATCTAATTTATATCCTCTTCTCAGACTATCTTGAAAAAGGGAAAGCCCTGCCCTTATACCTCCCACAAGATCTGAAAACTGAGAGATTTCACATAAAAAACTAGATTTTTTCTTTTCAAAATTGATAAATCTGGTAACAGTAGGCCCATTTTCCAACATGGCATCAATCAGCGCGAGCTAAGTAGTAGCCACCTGATTTAGATGGGGCATGAACATTAATTTGCCACAGTTCGCACCATGCCTGCTTCATTTGTTTCCTGCCCAGCCCCTGTCTATTTGAGAGATGAGTGCCTCCTGGGAAACCCAACTCTTCTCTTTGAACAGTCTTTTTCAAAGTTTCTTGCCAGTGACCACAATAAGAAATGTGTTTTATATCATGACCTAATGCATGCATACACATATAAAATTATATAAAGAAAATTTTTCAAATTTCCCAAAACAACATTAATCTCTACTATGTGTAATATACTCTGATATTTTCTGTTCTAGTTCATTAAAAAGAAATGCTGGTTGCAAACCACTTAATTATTTTATAACCTACTGAGGGGTTTTAGGAGCCCTGGTGGCACAGTGGTTAAGAGCTCGGCTGCTAACCAAAAGGTTGGCAGTTCGAATCCTCCTTGGAAAACCTATGGGGCAGTTCTACCCTGTCCTATAGGGTCGCTATGAGTTGGAATTGACTTGACAGCAATGGGTTTGGTTTTTTGATCTGAAGGGATTTTAACACTTTGCAAAAGCATTTCCTTAGCACAGCACTTCCTTTACAGCTTCATTCTCCAAATTCCTGATCTTTGGCTAGTTCTGTACTACTACATCCACATTTTTGTTCTTCTGTCCTTTGAGAGTTATTTTATTCTGCTATATCATCTCTTCCCTTCTTTGTAACTGTCACCTACCAACCTTGATATTATTTTCCTGACATTTAATGAGGCCCTTCCTTCCCCAGTTTACCCTGTAGTTCCAATATTCAAATTTCTGCCGTCATTTGATACAGGCAAGCTAGTCCTTTTGGTTCTAGTGGCCTTTACGTTCAATAAATCATTCCCATAACTGCACAGTAAGCCTTTTAATCACTTGGATCTACAGAATCTCTGAAATTCTAAATGTGAATATTCTATCCTCTGACCACAATCTTTTAACCTTTCAACTCTCCCACTTCTTTACCCTAATGTACTTGTATTTTTATATAATGAGTTCTCCATTCTCCAACTCTTTTCTCCCACATTCTTATTTACCTTCTAGCTTCATTTCTTACCCTTTTCCGATCTAGAAACTATCATAAATGACTTCAGCGACGGTTGACAGCACCTTCAAATCTTCTGCTCCTAGGCTGTCCCTTAATTTCTTTGCTAATGCGTAATGTGGGTCAGTCCAGCCACCCACTTTGTCCACATGTATAATAGGGCTAATGAAAGCTGCTGAAGGAAATCTCTCCCACTGACACAGAGATTGTTCCAACTACAGATTTCATTTAGGTCCTCTGATAAGGTTCCTTGCAACCTTTTTTCTAGGTTTTTTTGCCATTCTCCCTAATCTTACCTATTTTGTGACTCCTTCTTCATAGAAAAATTACATGCAGTCACAAGTAAACTCTCATCTTCCCACCTTTATGACCCCACACAAACATTTCCACTTTTATACCCATCACTATCATCCTCCCTCTCATTTCTGAGGAAAAGATGTCTTTTCTGATAACCACAGTTAATCTTTAGAACTGTTCTAAGATTCTTTTCTATCAGTTTTTACTTTACTGTATCAACCTCGTTAATGCCCTGGCTTCTTCTTTTCCTTAGCTTGTAAAACATGCTGAAATGCATTCTGTTTTTTAAAAAAGAAAGAATGAATACCATTCTTGTGAAACCTGTGTCTTTCTCTAGCCCACACCTACTTCCTTTACAGCCAAATTTGAAATAAATAATGGTTATAATCACCATCTGCATCCTCATCTCTTATTCATTGTTCAAAATCAAGCTCAAATGTGACCTCCTCAATATTTCACCTTCCCCTCCCACCACCCACAATACACACATATGTCCCTATTTAGACAAAATGAGATTCTTTCACTTCTGTGCTCCCAATGCACAATTGCTATTTTGGCACTTAACCACATTGTGAAAGTTTGAAAAGGATTGTTTGTTAGACTGTGGGTTCCTTAGTAGAAATTTTACCTAGTTTGTCTTTGGATCCCAAATACTGTCAGGTGCATAGTAGGTAAAATGAGTAAGTGAAGTTGCAAGAGTTAGAATATCTTTTTTTTTTTCCCCCAAGAAAACCCAAGTAAGTTATTACCAACACTTCAGTAGGTTTTCAGTAATATTAAGTGATTATTTTGATAATGTCATTTTATAAGGTTAATGAAATGTTCAGATGTGATACTTTTTCCCAGAGAACTTTTAGAGCTTTATCTTTTAATTGATATAAATGTATTGTTTTGCTTAAGTTATGTTTATACTTTTTTATATCAAAGATATAAAGTACAAAAACTGGTATGCTTCATCCCTCCTACAGTTCTTAAATAGATTGACTAGTTTTTTGTTTTTTTTTTAATGTAACAGAATCATTCCGTGCTCCTGCATTTTCATATGGACCTGATGGAAATGGTTTCTCTCTTGGATACAGTAAAAATTGGAGAGAAGTCTTTGGTGATGAAAAGAAATATTGGTTACTTCCAGTATTTTCAAGGTAATCTATTTATAAAGTTCATGTGTCCGAAAATATGTAATCTATGATAGTCTCTTGTCTCTGTATATGGTGAAATATCTTAAGATCCAGAGAATACAATATATTTTTATGGGCCTTGAGAATGAAAACTCAAATATCTTGATCATATATAAAACATTTTATTCTTTTTCTTTTTTTTAATAGTCTAAAGGAGTGTTTGAGTATATGGAAAGGAGAAAAAATAAAGATGATTTATTAAAAAAAAAAAGGTCGTTCTTTTTTCCTTCAAAATGAAAATAAGTTGTTTGGAGTAGAGAATCATAAAAAATCATAAAAACAGTTGTTGTTCAGTTGATACTGATTCATGGCAACCGCATGTGTGTCACAGTAGGACTGTGCTCCATAGGGTTTCCAATGGCTTTTTTTTTTTTTTTTCTTTTTTTTTTTTAAGAAGTAGATCACCAGGCCTATCTTTTTTTAAATATTATTATTTGTTTGTACTTAGATGAAGGTTTACAGAACAAATAGTTTCTCATTAAACAGTTAGTACACATACAGTTTTATGATGTTGGTTAACAACCCCATGATATGTCAAAACTCTCCCTTCTCGACTTTGGGTTCCCTATCACCAGATTTTTCTGTCCCCTCCTGCCTTCTAGTCCTTGTCCCTGGGCTGTTCTGCCCCTTTAGTCTTGTTTTGTTTTATGGGCCTGTCCAATCCTTGGCTAAAAGGGTGAACCCTCAGGAGTGACTTCATTACTCAGCCAAAAGTGTGTCCAGGGGCCATACTCTCAGGGTTTCTCCAGTCTCTGTCAGGCCAGTAAATCTGGCCTTTTCTTGTGAGTTAGAATTTTGTTCTACATTTTTCTCCAGCTCTGTCCGGGACCCTCTGTTGTGATCCCCGTAAGAGCAGTCAGTGGTGGTAGCTGGGCACCATCTAGTAGTACTGCACTCAGTCTGGTGGAGGCTGTGGTAGTTGTGGTCCATTTGTCGTTTGGACTAATCTTTCCCTTGTATCTTGTTTTCTTCATTCCCCCTTGCTCTGGAAGGGGTAAGACCAGTGGAGTATCTTAGATGGCTGCTCACAGGCTTTTAAGACCCCAGACGCCACTTGCCAAGGTAGAATGTAGAACATTTTCTTTATAAACTATGTTATGCCAATTGAGTTAGATGTTCCCTGAGATCATGGTCCCCACAGCCCTCTGCCCAGCAGTTGGTCCCTCTGGGAATTTAGATGTGTCTGTGGAGCTTCTATGACCTTGCCTTGTACAAGTTGTGCTGGATTCCCCATTATTGTGTACTATCTTACCCTTCACCAAAGTTACCACTTAATCTATTGTCTATTTAGTGCTCCCCTTCCCACCCCTCCCGTCCCTCGAAACCATCAAAGATTGTTTCTTTTTGTGTGTAAACCTTTTCATGAGTTTTTACAGTAGTGGTCTCAAATAATATTTGTCATTTTGTGATTGACTTATTTTCACTCAGCATAATGTCCTCCAGATTCATCCACATTATGAGATGCTTCTCAGATTCATCATTGTTCTTTATCGTTGCGTGATACTCTGTTGTGTGTATGTACCATAGTTTGTTTATCCATTCATCTGTTGATGGGCGTGTAGGTTGTTTCCATCTTTTTGCTGTTGTGAACAATGCTGCAATGAACATAGATGTGCATATGTCTATTCGTGTGATGGCTCTTATTCCTCTAGGATGTATTCCTAGGAGTGAGATTGCTGGATCATATGGTATTTCTATTTCTAGCTTTCTAAGGAAGCACCATATCGTTTTCCAAAATGGTTGTATTATTTTGCATTCCCATCAGCAGTGCATAAGAGTTCCAATTTCCCAGGAGCCTCTCCAGCATTTGTTATTTTCTCTTTTTTTGATTTGTACCAGTAATGCCGGGATAAGATGGTATCTTATTGTGGTTTTGATTTGCATTTCTCTCATGGCTAGTGATCACGAGCATTTCCTCATGTGTCTGTTGGCCGCTTGAATGTCTTCTTTGGTGAAGTGTCTGTTCATTTCCTTTGCCTATTTTTTAAATTGAATTATTAGAGATGTTGGATTTTCTTGTAGATTTTACACATTAGACCTTTGTCTGATTTGTAATATCCAAAATTTTTTTCCCAGTCTGTAGGTTCTCTTTTTCCTCTTTGGTGAAGTCTTTTGATGAGCACAAGTATTTAATTTTTAGAAGATCCTAGTTATTTAGCTTATCTTCTGGAGTTTGTATGTTATTGGTTATGGTTTGTGTCCTGTTAATGCCATGTATTAGGGCCTCTAGCATTGATCATATTTTTTCTTCTCTGAACTTTATGGTTTTTGGCTTTATGTTTAGGTCTTTGATCCATTTTGAATTATATGGAGTGAGGTATGGGTCCTGTTTCATTTTTTTGCAGATGGATATCCAGTTTTGCCAGCACCATTTGTTAAAAAGACTGTCTTTTCTCCATTTGATGGACTTTGGGCCCTTGTCAAAGATCAGGTGACCACAGATGGATGGATTTACATCTGGGTTCTCAATTCTGTTCCATTGGTCAATGTATCTGTTGTTGTACCAGTGCCAGGCTGTTTTGACTACCATAGCTGTATAGTAGGTTCTGAGTTGAGATAGTGCGAGTCCTCCTACTTTCTTCTTCTTCTTCTTCGATAGTGCAGGCCTTTCTTTTGAGGCGCCTCAGTTAGCAGCTGAATGCATTAACCATTTGCATCACCCAGGGGCTCTGGAAGAACTTCAAGTGGGCTAATATAATCAGAACTGGAGTTCCCGTAGTAATCAGTTGAGATAGTTGAAGAAATAAATCATGGTTAAAAAATTTTCCAAGCTTGCTAAAAGGTATAAAACCACAGGTCCAAGAAGCTCAAACAGCTCTGAGCACAACAAAAATGAAGAAAACTACACAAAGCACATCATAATCAAATTGCATGAAACTAAGAGAAAATCCTAACCAGCCAAGGTGGGGAGGGGGTGGGGAGACACATTACATATAAAGTAACAAAAATCAGAATGATACCAAACTTCTTGTCAGAAAACAAAAAAACCAGAAGACAGTGAAGCAACATCTAGAATCCTGTATACAACAAAATGTCTTTGGGGCAAAATAAGTCATTTTTAGTTTAAAAAAAAAAGGCACTTAAGTTAATGAAGAAAGAAAACCACTCCACAACACTTAGAAATATGTCACGTGAATGTTAGGTATTTTTTCCTTCTCTATAATGACTTTGGTATGGCCTAAGATGGCTGGGAATTAGGGACAAAAGGATACTATAAATTATCTCGGGCATTCTCATTTAAATTTGAGGTAAAAATTGTACAAGTAGTGTTGGTTTGAATTATGTCCCCCCAAAAATGTGTGTATCAATTTGGCTAGGCCATGATTCCTGGTACTGTGTGATTTTCCTGTATGTTGTAAACCTGCCTCTATGATGTTAATGAGGGAGGATGGGTGGCAGTTGTTAGTAAGGCAGGACCTGATCCACAACCCTGGATTGTGTCCTGAGGCAATCTCTTGAGATAAAAGACAGAAGTGAGCAGTGAGACAGCGGGACCTCATACCATCAAGAAAGCAGTGCCGGGAACAGAGCGCATCCTTTGGACTGGGGTCCCTGCACCAAGAAGCTCCTAGTCCGGACGAACATTGATGAGAAGGCCGACAGAGAGGAAGCCTTCCCTTGGAGCTGACATCCTGAATTTGGGCTTTTAGCCTACTTTGACTGGGAGGAAATAAACTTCTCTTTGTTAAAACCATCCACTGTGGTATTTCTGTTATGGCAGCACTAGATAACTAAGACAGAATTTGGTACCAAGAGTGGGGTGCTACTCTAACAGATACCTAAAATGTGGAAGCGGTTTTAAAACTGAATGGATAGACATGCAGCAGTGACAGAGGACCAGCAGCAGCAGAGAACCTACAGCAGCAGAGAAGCAGCAACAGCAGCAGAACCAGGAGACCAGTGTGAGACGGCGCTGGAGCTGACCCACGGAGTGAGAGAGCTGAGTGCCTGTTCTGTTCTCTGGAGGCTTCCTTGCGGAGTGGGGTGCCTCTGGGCACTTACCAGTGGATCTAGGCTTCCTGACCCATGGAGCGAGACAGCTGAGTGTCTGTGTGCATGAGGCTTTCTAGTGGAGTGGGGTGCCTCCGGGCACTTATACCAGTGGAGCTACAGAGCTTTGGAACATTTGCCTCAGCAGGGCAGATCCAGGCATGAGGCCCAAGGGCCAAGAGGCCACAGGAAACAAAAGCAGAAGCTGAAGAGACAAAGGACACAAGAAGCTGAGCCGCCTCAGTCTCAAAAGGTATGGTCATGACCTCAGGGGTTTCAAAGTGTGGAGCCATGGCCTCTGGTGTTTCTAAGGGTGGAGTTGTCACTCTGATGGACTAGGAGAATGGTGCGCCTAAAGCCAAGGGAGCAGAGTTGCTATCCCAGTGGGCCTGGAAGGCGGAGCTGAAGCCCAGGGCCAAGGGGCCTCCACTCAGAATCCAGAGACTGTGGCCAATACCTAGAGTCTGGAGGGCAGGGCTGTTGTGTAAATTGTCTCAGAGAACAGAAGATTATTTTTAAAGCTCTGAGGGTTAATGTAATGTGTTCTGCTGACTTGCTTGGTGCCTGTTATCACTTCTTTTCCCATTTGTAATGTTTCTCCCATTTGTAATGGAAATGTCTAGCTTGTGCCTGTTCTGCCATTGTACCTTTGGAAGCAGATAACTTGTATTCTAGATTGCACAGATGAAGAGGAATTTTTGGATTTTGGACTTGGAGTTAAGACTTTTGCTATGATATGATGGGGTGAATATGTTTTCCATGTTGCGAGGATGTGATTTTTTGGGGGCCAAAGGGTGGAATGTCATGGTTTGAATTATGTCCCCCCAAAACTGTGTGTATCAATTTGGCTAGGCCATGATTCCTGGTACTGTGTGATTTTCCTATATGTTGTAAACCTGCCTCTATGATGTTAATGAGGGAGGATGGGTGGCAGTTGTGTTAGTAAGGCAGGTCGTGATCTACAAGACTGGATTGTGTCCTGAGGCAATCTCTTGAGATATAAAAGACAGAAGTGAGCAGTGAGACGGGGACCTCATACCATCAAGAAAGCAGTGCCGGGAGCAGAGCGCATCCTTTGGACTGGGGTCCCTGCGCTGAGAAGCTCCTAGTCCGGGGGAACATTGATAAGTCCGACAGAGAGAAAAAGGCTTCCCCTGGAGCTGACGCCCTGAATTTGGACTTTTAGCCTACTTTGACTGTGAGGAAATAAACTTCTCTTTGTTAAAACCATCCACTTGTGGTATTTCTGTTATGGCAGCACTAGATAACTGAGACAAGTAGTCTCTAGCTTACAACGAGATTCCGTTCTGACACCGCCATCGTAAGTCAGTTCTGACATAAGTCAAATATGTCATTTCGTATTAACTGATGTTTCTTACAGTACAGAAATGCTGAATAAGATCATGCTATAGGCCTGGTCTGCGGTGAAGTTGGCATCAGTGTCATAACAATGAATTCGGAGTTGTAACGGCTGTTGGGTGCATGCGAAGTTCAATTGTCATGTGTCATTAGAGTTGAACATTATGACTCCCAGCACCAACTTCATTGTAGACCAGGCCATAGCCTGCTATACGGCAGCATCTTTAACAGTAAATCATAAAATTGAACACCTGCGAGTGAATACCTGATATTACATCAGCAAATTACATGCTACAACATTGTATGTAGTACGTATTACTAATAAGATGTTAAAAAACAAAAAAAAAGGATGGTCATAAGTGCAGTTAGTCTTAATGCAAATTCAGTGTAAGTCAGGGACTATCTGTGTATGTATTGGGTCTCCTTTCATTTAAGGCACAGCAGAATATGTAATTAACTTATGGAATCTTTGAAACTGTGGCTAATAAGTATAAATTCTTATGATTTTCTGGAGTCCTTGGGTGATGCAAATGGCTGCTAACCAGAAGGTTGGAGGTTTGAGTCCACCAGAGGCACCTCAGAGGAAAGTCCTGACGATCTTCTTTCCAAAAATCAGCCGTTGAGAACTCTATGGAGCCCAGTTCTGCTCTGACACACATGGGATCACCATGAGTCAGAGTCGACTCAATATCAACTGGTTTGGTTTTGGAATTTCTCCTACAGCTCACTAATGTGCTGTTATTTTTTTGTTCAGTCTTATCTGTGCTTCATTTTGGATAGATCTATTGCTATATCTCTTCTGTGTACCATAAACGTAGAATTCAACATTGACAGGTTTTGAGGGTACATCACGCTTTCTTTAAAAATACTATTCCATTATTTCCTGGCTTGCTTTGTTTATGACAAGAAGTCAGCATCACTCTTTATTCCACTGCTTATAGTAAGGTTTTTTTTCCCCTCTGGCTAAAGATTTTTACCTTTATCACACTGGTTTTAAGCAGTTTGATTATGATACCCATTGGTGTGGTTTTCTTTATGTGTATCTTGCCTGGGTTTCAGTAGGCTTCTTGAATCTGTGAGTTTATAGTTTTCATCAAATTTGAATAATTCTTATCTATTCTTCAGAAATTTTTTCTACCTGCTTCTTCCCTTCCTCCTCCCCTCGTCCCCAGCTTTTCTGGGACTCTCAAGTACATGTTAGATGGCTTGATAGTGACCCACAGGTCATTGTTATTCTGTCCCCAGCCATTGTGTTTTTTTCTGTCTTTGCTTTAGTTTGGATAGTCTCTATTGCTATATTTACAAATTCACTGATCTTTTCTTCTGCAGTGTCTAATATGTTAAGCCCATCTCATGCATTTTTTATTTCTGATACTGAATTTTTCAGCTCTAGAAGTTCAATTTGATTATTTTTTATACCTTCCATTTCTCTCTTCATTATATTCATTTCATATAAATATTCACGGACATATTTGTAATTACTCATTCAAAGTCCTTGTTTGCTAATTTTCACTGTCATTTCTGTTTTTTTTCTACTGACTGATTTTTCTCCTAGTTATGGATCACATTTTCCTGCTGCTTTGCATATCTACTAATTTTTGATTGGATGCTGGACATTTTGGATGTTAGTTTGCTGAGCTTTCTGGATTTTATTGTCTCCCTTAAATGTTGAATTTTGTTATGTCAGGCAATTACGTTACTTGTGTTTCAGCGTGGTCCTTTTGAGGCTTGTTTGTTAGGGTGGAGCTAAAGTAGCCTTTTCTCTAGGGTTCCAACTAAGGTGAGAGCCTGCTAGGATCAAATCTGGGTGTTCAGTGAGATCTGTCCATTCATGTTGGTCCAATTTGAATGCCCCTGGTCCTGTGGGAGCTCTTGGGAGCTCTTGAAATTGCTCAACTTACATTTTTTAGCTTTTCTTCCCAGATTTATATGTGTAGCTTAGTATTTACCACAGAACTTAAGTGTACTAGTGTGCAGATTTCTGTAGCCCTTTCTCTGCATATGTCCCTCTATCTCAGTTCTGCCCCAGAGATCCAAGCCACCGCAGCCTCCCAAATTCCCATCTCTGTCACCTCAATCCAGAAAGACTACTTTGCTCGCCTTGGTCCTGGTTGAAAGCTGGGGCTTACTTGATTTGTTTCTCTTCTTTCAGAGATTACAGTCCTTTGCTGCATGTTTTGAAAACAGTCATTTTATATACTGTTCCACTTTCTAGTTGTTTATAGTGGGAAGGTCAGGTTTACAGCTTATTCTATCTTGGCTGGAAATGAAAGTCCCTGTTTGATATTTATAGAATGTGAAAGTAAGGCATAACTATACAATTTTTTAGATTGTGATATTGAGGGTAGAGATTTTCTTCTCATTCACTGCTATATCCCTAGTGCTTAAAATAGTACCTGGAACATCATAGACAGTAAATTTGTGGAACTTTTACCTTTAATTTCAGTTCCAGCCTTTATGATTAAATTTCCCAAATATTTGAATACCTGTTTTTGATGTACTCTGCTGGGCATCCTAGTCTTAATAGTGATATATGAAACATTGTTTTTAAATACTCTTGTAAATCATAGTAGAACAAGAAATCCTTCTGCCCTGCAAAGAGGTTTTGCCACCTAAAGAAGATTATAAAAGAAGAAAGCTTATTTCTTCAGTGGAGGCCAATAACTCTCTAATTAGAAATCTTAGGAATTATTCCCTGAAATGACATTGTAATAATTTCTTTCCCTGCCTCTGAAAAATGGGTGTCAAATTTGGCCGCTATGATTTAACTTAATATGGTTTAAATTATATATTATTGCTATTTTTCATTATGCAGCTTGGGTGATGGTTGCAGTTTTCCAACTCGCCTTGTGGGGATGGATCCAGAACAAGCTTCTGTTACAAGCCAAAATGAATATGCTAGAAGGTGTGCTTCTTGTCATTAAGTTTTTTAGTATTCTAATATTCATTATAAAGCAAGCTGGGTACATGTGTTATACATACATATTAGTGTGATAAGTACAATAGTAACTCAGTAAGCCAGCATAAATAAAGAGTAATTCTCTTTAAATTTTTTGTTAACTGAGGGCTAATATGTTTATGTGTTTACATTTTGTCTTCCCAACCAGAACACTTTCGAGAGTAGAATTCTTGCTAGTGATAAATAGTTAGACCAGAACAGTTGCATAATATGGGAAATGTCTGGGCAAAGTGGGAAGTATGGCGACCCTAAATATGCTGCATCTTCCTAGAAACTAAGGCTTTGTTTCAGGAATTGATTTTATTGGTTTATATCAGTTATGTTGTTTTCTAAGAAATTTATCATTTTATTACTTACCATTTTGGTTTGATAAACAGATTTTAACTACGGTGTCAAAATACTATTGAGGATTCAAAAATACAATTATAAATATTTTTCTCATTAATTCTTCTTAGAGGAAATTTTTTTATAGTACTTCCATGGCAAGAAAGCTATTTCACAAATTCTGAGAATTAGGTCATTTTAAATGAAATTTTAAAGAAGCTAGAGATACTTCTGCCAAAGTTAAACAGTTGAAAAGTATTTATCACATAAATAAATGGTGGGGGAGAAAGGATTATAAACTCCAAACTAGCATGGTAATATTGGAAGAGCATAGGCCTTAGAACCTAGAACCTAGAACCTAAAGCCTCAGATCTTAAAGCTCTAACATTTCTTATGATTCTGAACAAATCACTCAAACTCTCTGAGCCTCAGTTTCTACCTCTACAAAATGAGATAATCATACCTACCTCCAGGGGTTTTTGTGGGGGTCAAGATAATGTGTAGAAAGCACTTTGTGCTGTGTCTGGCCCATAATAGATACACAACAAATATTAGTTCCCTTTTCCTCCTCCTCTCCTTCTGTGTTCCCTCCCTCCCTGGATCTCTTAACTAGTAAAATAAGTCTACACTAAATCACTAAATCATTTTTTCCCCTTAGATCTAAACTGCAGAGGTAGAAAGCAGAAAACTTGGGAAATGACAGGTAATTTTTTTGTACTGGCCACAGACATAGATCCTCACCTGTCCTTGTTCTACCTTATGGCTCTTGATTAACATGTTAAAAGCATTTCAGACTGGCCTCCAAAGCTTTTTTTCTTTTGTCTAATTGTTTTCACTGACAGTGTTATAATACAGATACTTGGGTCGAGAAAGCCAGTTAGTGGGGGGAGCGGGGGTGTATTTTTCTTTTGAAGAGAGAATTTTTTTCAGAGTGCTAAGATCCCATGAGTTGTGCTCTCATATTTAGGAGAAAGAATACTAATTTGCTGCTTATTAATTTATTAAGTATCCTTAATTGAGCATGAAGCTATTGACAAAATGATTTGCTTCTCTTTTCAGTATTGGATCAAATCCACCCTTTCCTATCAAACCGCTTAGTGAATCAAAAAACCGATTGTTGGACAGTGAATCTCAGTGGACAGAGACTGGATCTGAAGAAGGCATCGTCAGATCAGGTAGTAACTTCTAATCTGAACACATTGCTTCATCTGGTGAAAATGAAAATCACCAGGTTTAATAAACATGGAAAAATCAAAATAATGTGATACTCTACATGTATGGAATGTTAATCTTTATTGGTGTTTTGTTGGGGAGGGGTTTGGATGAAGAAGGTATAGTGGTTGCTGCTGTTTTTTGTTTCGTTGGAAAGGTTTTGTGTGTGTGTGTGTGTGTGTCTGTGTGTGTGTGTGTTATGCAATCCCCTACTTTTTATTTCAGATATATGGAAAGTTCTTTTGACATTGTATATTCTGAATTATGTTTTGAACAAGATTATCCTTTAGGATTTTTTAGTCAAAAATAATTTTTGAAAAGCATTGTACTCTTTACTCCCTTAGTTTGAAAAAAGAATACACTGAATATATTTTAACCTTTTCTTGATGACTGTTGATCATTTCATGAATACTGGATGCAGTACAGACAGTTGATAAGACAGAAGTGGGCTTCTGAATCAGGTCTGGGTTTACAATATAGTCTGGCCACTTACTAGCATTACAGCATAAAAATGAGCTGTGGTATTTCCTAAGAATAATAACATTGTCATCGTCTTGCACTGTAGAAAATGGTTTGGGACATTCAGATCAAGTTGTACCAACTCTAGCATATACCCTAGAACTTGCTGTGACAATTTCTGATCTTTTCTTGCTTTTATTTATTTATTTCCTTACTTTTAGCAGCATTTGAAACATTCTCTTAAATTAATTTCATTAAGATCTTCATTAGGATCATTAATTCCCTGTGTAACATCAAGGGAAAAATTCACTTTGTGAAATTCTGAATCACTGCTGCCTAATGTCTTTAAAGCCAGTGGGCGTTGTCACCAGGACAAGCATAAAAGCAGACTTTGATTGTTAAAGCTGTTTTACTTACTTGAGTTCTACAAGAAGACAAATAGTTGGTGGGCATCAGCCTTTTTAGTGCTATGTAATAGTTGCTTTTGCTGTAATCATAAATTTAGCATTTAACCAGAAACTTAATGCTTTTTTTTTTTTTATTGGTTACGCCATATATAATTATGTGCTTACAGGGACAAATAACCATGTTACAGTGACAATAGAAAACTGAGTACCACTTGTTCATAACTAACCATTTGAATAAGAGCAAGGTAAGACAGTATAAAGGTAATTTCCTTGAACAAATGCAGTTTATTTGCATATTTTATAATCTTCTAAAACAATTTTTTTTTTTTTTTTTTGGCTCTTTTCAATCGTATCAGCAAAATTAGGCAATTAGGAGAGACTGGAGGGTAAATTAACATCTGCCTGTGTACCATTTTTCTTACTACTCATAGCACAATCTTAGTAAATATTTGATGGCAGATTAGTGAAGAAACTAACAAAAATTGTTTAGAGTTGGTGTATGGGCAACTAACCTTTTCAGTATAGATTATTAGTTGGTTTAAGAAGAAAAAGTGACTTTTGCCCATTATTGAAGAAATTTGATCCAGAGTAGAGTAACTAAAATCAAAGGCTGAAAAATAAGACTTAAGAGGTTCATTCATGTTGTTTAATTTGTAAAAGATAGGGCAAGAAAGCAGTTTATTCTAGCCAGGTACACTGATGTACCTCTTTGTGTGCCCAGAGACCAGGCCAGCAGAAATTAGTTTAAATAGCAATAAAAGACATTTCAGAGAGAGAATTAATAAGCAGTGTATAAGCAGTAGTATATGCAATGAGGGTAATGTTTAACACTTAAACTGTGAGGGATGTAGTGAGCTCTTTCTCTTCAGATACTTAAAAATAAAGAAGACAGCTATCTATTTTTAAGACAGGAGCCAAGCTGAATGACCTAAAGCATCTCATCCAGATATTAGATGTTTTGACAGCCTACTTAGAGTGTTTTTTAGTTATCTGTTGCTTCGTACGAAATTACCACAAACTTGCCTTGCCAGCTTAAGACAACACGCATCTATTATCTCAATTTCTGTGGGTCAGGAGTTCATTTTTTCAACTAGGGGAGCATCTGCTTCCTTGTTTGCATATTTGTTGGCAGGATTCAGTTCCTTGAAAAGGACCTAGAGCCAGTGTCCAAAGCTGCAGCCAGAGCCTAAGACTTAAACAGAATCAAACGCACATTTCAGGGCTCAATTTGGGCAGAATGGGCTTGAGTCTGAAGAGGAGCAACAGGAGCAGTATGTTGTGGTCTTGTGTAATGGTCCTGCAAAGAAGCATGGCTCCCTCCACATGAGCTTCATCATGGGAGCACATTAGTGGCTGATGCTGGTGATGGTTAGCAGTCTTAGAGCAAGTACTTTTAAAATGTCTCCTCAAGTGATACCCAAGCTAACAACAAGGGAGAACTGTTACAATCCACCTCCTAAAATACTCTTTTGATTGTTCCAGGGGAAGAAAGTCAGTACCATCCCCTTATTTACTGCTTATAAAAATCATTATTATAATATTTGTAGTATTAAAGTTATTCATGTCCTGTCTTATCAGCATTGTATCTTTAGCGCACAGAGCCACTTACAAAATCTTATATTTAGAAATATGAAATCAAGTGTTAACCAATAACTCAGTTGTTTCTTTTTTTATAGGTTTATAGAAATACATTACGAACTGATACTTTCAGTTTTATTTGGAAGAAAATGATCAGTGGAATGAAATAAAGTATAATAGAAGATGTATTGGGGAAAAAAAAATAAAGGAAACCTTTGTACAGATCACTGTTTCCACAGAAGCACTACTCCAGAGCAGGAAGATGCCTTAATCTCACATGTCCATTTGTGCAGCATTGACCTATGTCTACAAAAGTGACTACATTTTACGCTGGAAATAATACTTACCTTTTATGCGATGCCATAATATGAGCCATCAGGTCACATGTTTAACACATGTATTTCTTTGATACTCAAGTTACATTATTAGAGTTATTTCTTAGTGTACATTATAAGTTTTCACCCCAAGCTAAAAACTTGTCTAAGTGAGTCTGTCTCGGACAGTGTGGTAACTGAAAGTGGGTAATAATATCCAAATACTATTGTTTATACTCTATAAGGAAAAAGAAATAACTGCTTTTTTTACTGGGTGTTTGCTAATTTATAATTACTGTTTTATACTTTCAACATTTTTAATAATTTTTTATTGTTGGCTATAAAATAACATTCAGAAGGACTCAGATATCTAAATATAATCATATAAACCATAGAGCACATTTGTATAATTCATTAAAGGCTGAGTTATAATCATTAATACAACCATTTAGTCTATTGTATACCCAAGGCTTAAAGGAAACTTGGCAGTAATAAGGAATATTTGGGGTTCTCTTTACTTTTTAATTACTTTTTTGTTGCATTTTCAAGGGTATTTATACAGGCAGGGAAACACAAAAGTACATGTTCTACACAAATATTGACACAGTAGGAATAGGGAGAAGTGGCTAGAAGAAGGGTAAAGAGAAAGATAGGCAGGATATTGTTAAGTTGTTAAAAAAAAAATTTTCATTCCTAAAGGTATTTAGAATGTAACATGCTGTTGAGTTTATTTACTGTTTCTTTCAAATTTTAAAGTAATTACTGAAAATTACGTTGAAACTTTTTACAGTAATCCTGTAATAGCTTAAACAGTGATATAAAATGCAATTGGAACTAGGGGAAAGACTTTAGAATAATACCACTCTCAAGGAAGAAATTTTTATAACCTGAATAGTCTTTTAAACGCTTCCAGTCACTGAAAAGTAGATTCCACTCTTAAATGCAGAATTTCACATCTGACTTCTCTCAGAGCAGCCCCTTTCTGCCTAGATAACATCTCCTTTTAAAATCTAGTATGAGTGGTAGGAATTATTGCCTTGATTCTAAAGAAAAATATAGTGTCTTTTCAAAGAGAAACAATGTAGACATGTTATTCCTCATTGCTACTCTTTAGTCAAGTACAGTTCCTCATTTATACTGTTTAATCAAACACAAACCAAAATAATTGATTGCTTCCAGCAGATGAGTAGAGATAAATCTTAACCAGCATGTCTGTAAGTATCAAAGACTATAGTTTCCTTACCTGTAAAAGTAGGTGTGGGGAGGAGGCGGGGGAGGGCTGTTGTGAAAGACGGATGACTTCTAACATTCTGTGATTTCTAATTTTCCAAAATAATTACTTTTCATTCATCCAACAAATATTTTTGGAGTACCTTCTAAATGCCAAACAATATAGAAGGCATAGCTCTATAATTTCCTAATGTAACAGATTTTATAGCTAACTCTGCCCAGTGTAGTTTCTAGAATTTGTCTAATTCCATTGGCTATACAAACATTAGATTTTAAGAGAAAATAACTTTTTTCCCTTTGAACCAAAGGAATGAGTTAGCTTTTAAAGTCTAGTTTGGAATACTACCTTTGTTTTAACTCTTTAGTCATATTAATTTTGATTCTAGAAAACTTAACGTATGAGCTTAAGAGATGTGAGTTACCAACCAAAAACATCACTTCAGTTTGGCAGTTTCCAGGTTTCCATAATATAAGGAAACAGTAAATGTTTAAACTTGCTTAACCACTGTCAGAAACTTTCTCCTGGTACTTTTGTGTATGTTTCTACATTTAGTGCAAAGGCTCTGCGTGTACTTGGTTAACAACTGAGGAAACATTATTTCCCCTTTAACCTGGCAGGCACTTGTATGGTATTGTAATATTTCTCAATTCTTTTAATTTCTATTATTTAACATAATCTTTAATAGCATAGTACACACCTTTTAAAGCTTTTTCAATTAAAACCTTTTACTTTAGTTACCTTTGATTTAATTTATGGCCAACGTTTTGCTGAATTATAAATAATATTTGGCTGGGTTGGTTCGTGCATGTTGGTGCCCATTCAGCAAGCGGGCCTGCTGGTGGTAAGGGAGTCAGAGAAAGGCTGCCTCTTTGATAGTTCAACTGATATTGATTATTGCTATCAACTATTTGGGGAGAAAAGGTCAAACTGAAGCCCTGTCAAAGTTTATAAGTACTATCTTTTGTCTTTCAAGCACTTGAACATTTGTGATGCCATTTAAGGAAAATAAAGTTGAATATCCCGTCTTGCTATTGCCATTAAAAACAAATTTAGGAGACTTGGTTTATGTGGGTATGAATGTACTTGAGTATTCTGAACCTGAAGCATCTGACCAGTATTATTATGCCAAACCAAAGAGCAGCTACAGTATATTAGTTATTAAAATGAACACGTTTACAGCATCTAGTTTCATCGTTACATACAGATGATTTTTTGAAAATCTTGTTACATATTCAGTGGTTATAATCTAATGTGTCATAAATGTAAGGTTAGTTTAAATCAAATATGCAGTGTTTACTTGAATTTTATCTCTTCTAGAAAGCAGATTTTGACTATGTTTACAAGATTGTTTAAATATCATATATAAGATTTCCATTCAGTAATCTTTAAAGTAAATGTATATTAAGGGCTTAAAGTTAATGTGCACAATTTGGACAGTGATTTACAAATATGTTCAGCTTACATTTTTTTCTCAGACTACCACTGCTATCAGTGGAAGATATTTTATAACTAATCTGTTATTAAGAAATTAATCATATTTTTGCATTTCAGTCAAAATAAAGACCATATCTAATAATCTGCTAGACACAAATATGTAAATCTGAAATCCATGTATTTCATATTATCTAAAATATATTTTCCAATTAAAACTAAAAATACAATATAGATTCAGAAAAATCCATATTTTTCTAATGTCTTCTTCACTTTATATTATTTTGTTGGGTTGCATAAAGAAACAAGGAGTTGTATTTGTATTAAAAGGTTAAGAAAGCTAATGAGTCAAGTTTATTATATTTGTATATGATTGCAGATGAGTCTATACCCATTTTAAAGAAAAGACAGACACTATTTTAAAGTGATCTTTAATATGCTTTTATATAAACAAATTTGAAATAGTTTACTTTGGTTGTCTTTACTTAATACCATAACCCATGTTTTTATTTCTGATGAGTATAATCCTGGACTATGACTTAAAATTAACTTTGCTTTGTCTTTTGAATGGCCTAACCTGTATTAACATGAAAGCAGAACATTTTTAAACTTTTGTTTCAAAAATCATAATAATGAATTATTTTGTTAATAAAGAAATAAAGATGAAGTCCTGTATTTGAGCAGTTTGTTGTTATAAAGTGGTGTTTACTGAGCAAGAGAGTAACTATTATTTTGATTAACTTGAAAATCAGGTGAAGTGGTGTTTAGTTAAAAAAAATTTAGCTAATGATGTAGGTATTATTATTTATTATTAGGTACAATTTGAGTGTATCAAAATTGTTGTTTACTTAGGCCAGAGGTATAGATTATTCAAAAAGAGTTTAACTTAGCTTTTACTGAACAGAATTTAATTTTCAATTTGGAAGTTACTTTAGGATCTTAAGTACATTCAAATCACTGTAAAGGTTGTTGAGTTGTGGTTATTAAAATATTAAATAATACATTTTTTCTCATGGAGAATTCTTTCATAGCATCTGTACTCCAGTTCCTTCCAGTTTTATGTTAATGAGATATTGAGGCTGTGGAATAAAGCAGGAAGACTCTGAGCTAGGGCTGTGATTTCTAGTTTTGAGATCAATAAAATTTCAAAATATCTGCAGCAAGGGACCAGTATGGGCAAAGCAATTTTTAGTTATATTTATTTATGGTACCATTTTATTTTCTTACAATTGCATGAATTAAGAAAGAAAACAGGTACTTTGACATTCTGGTGAAAGGTACATTATTTGATACATGATGCTGGAAAAAATAAGCTGCCTCTTCCACCCTTCACATCTTACATCAGAACAAATTCCAGATGGCTCATAGACATAAAAACTGAAAACAGGTACTGGAAGAAAACATAGGTACAGAATTTTATGATAGGATAGGAAAGATATTTCTAAACTGACATATGCTAGTAATCATAAAGGAAAACAGATTTGAGTACATGAATTTTTTAAAAAGAAAGCTAATAGGAAAAAATGGAGATAAAACAAGCACAGGAAATTCACAGAGATAAAAATGATCAGTATACAGCATGTAAAAAGAGGCTTCATTAGTAAAGAAGTCCAAATCAAGACATTAAGATTTCTGCCTAGGCTAAGCAAGAGCCAGTGTTGGAGGATGTGGGCAAAGCAGCATTTTTGGAGGGAGCATAACCTTCCTTAAAAAGAAATTTGGCCGTGTGTGTCTTCACTGTATGTCACCTCTGACCTAGTAACCTCACCCTTAGGAATGTACACAGAGCTGTGTTTATGAACCTAATTGGAGAGGTTTTGTTTTGTTTTTATTTTAATCAATGAATTAGGAAAAACAATGTCTATCAATAGGTTATTGGCTAAATTATATTGCTCTATTCCAGAGGCTACAGTGAAGCCATTTAAACAATCTTTTTAGCTATCGCCATGGGAAAGATCTTAAAGACATTGAGTGAAAAAAATCAAATTGCAGAAGTATCCCTATATAGTATGAACCCATGTTGAAAATTACATTACTTGTACGTGTGTGCTCACACCATATCCGTTGAGCACTTGTTGGTGATGGATTGGGTGGGAATAGAGCTCAGCAGTCCAGCACAGGGCCATTAGTACACCCCAGCTGTGACCCGCCAGGATCCACACACAGCTGGGGGCTGCCCAAGCGGCTTGTGGTGAGCCCAGTGGGCCTCCAGCTTCATTGTAATTTGCCTCATGTGGCCCCCAGAAGTGACCACTGTCCAATTGGAAGCTATACCAACCATAAACCTGTGCATATAGAATATGGACAAGTTGCTGTATGCTATTCCCTCAGCCTTTTAAAATAAACTTCGAATCTTTGCAACATGGAGCCCTTATGGATGTGAAGAAGTTGCCCACATATGCTAAAAGTACAGTTTGAAAAATTACTTGTTTTGTAATCCTCTTTTTTGTTAAAACTCACTGGCAAGAAACTCTGGAAATAACTTGGGGATGCAGTTTTTACATCACTTCTCAGACTCATGGCTGTGTATGGTGGGAAAGCAGAAGACAGAAGGGTGAAGGTTCCACACCAGAATCTGTCTGTGCATGGTCAGTCAATACTCGTGTATATGCAGTGTTATAGTGATCAAACTTAGGTCTTTAACTGAAACATCTAGCCTTTCTAGGTATTTAGATGTGGTCTCCATATGTTAAAAGTGGATGGAGTACAACTAGTCTGCAGGACAAACAGTCTACATGAACCATGGCCTCATCTACCCTGAGACCAGAAGAACTGGATGGTGCCCAGCTACCACTTCCAACTGTTCTAATCAGGGCCACAGTAAATGGACCCTGATAGAATGGGAGAAAAATGTGGAACAGAACTTCAAATTCCTTAAAACAACAACAACAAAAAAAAAAAAAACACTGGACTGGTAGAGACTGGAGGACTCCCCGAGACTATCAGCCTGAGATATTCTTCAGAACTTGAAGCGAAGATATTCCCTGAGGTCACCTTGTAACTAAATAACAAATTGGCTCAAAATTAATTAATTAATTAATTAAATCACCTATATGAGACCAAATGGTCAAACATCACTTTAAGACAAAGATGAGAATGTCAGGGGGCAGGGAAACTAGATTAATGAAAACGGAACAAACCAGAACAGAAATAATGAGAACGCTCACTCATTGTGAAGAATGTAAGCGATATCACTGAACAACTTGTGTAGAAATTGTTGAATAGGAACCTAAATTGCTGTGTAAACCTTCACCAAAACCACAAAATATCATTTAAAAAAAATAAAAGCACTATATGGATCAAATTAATAATGGCAACTCCAACGATTAGGTAGGAACCTTAGTAGCGAGTTTATGTCAATGGGGGAGGAACAATTTAGAAAAGGAAGATGAAAATGGTTGCACAACTCAAATAATGTAATCAGTGTAATTGACTTGTACATTTAGAAACTTGAATTGGTATATGTTTGGGAGTGTATATTCTCAACAGCAACAGCAAAAATAAAATTTTTTTAAATGGTACTAAACCAGCAGGCTATTTATATGTAAAAAAGAAAACTTCCATCCCTAACTCAAACCATTCCTACACAAAAATTAATAGGGGATGGAGCACAGAGCTAAATGCAAAAGCTAAACTAAAAGACTTCTAGGAGAAAAAATAGAGTATGACTTTGGTGAGGTAAGGATTACTTAGGACAGAGAAAGCAATAATCATAAAAGAAAAAATTGATAAATTAGACTGTCAAAATTTATAAATTCTGCTAACAACAATAACAAATCACTATTAAGGAAATGAATAAATAAGCCTCAGTGAGAAAATTCATTTTTGATGAAGGACTTGTATCCAGAATTATATTTAAAAACAAATACAATTCCTACAACTCAATAATAAAAAGACAACCCAATTTAAAAACATGCAGAAGACTTGAACAGACACTTCAGAAGACATACAGTCAAGACGTGAAAAATATGGTAAACATCATTATCATAGAAATACAAATTTAAACCACAATTAGATACTACTATTCAACCATTCAAAAGGCTACAATTAAAGAGACTGATAATAACAAGTGTTGGTGAGGATGCAAGATCAACAGGAATTTTGATAACACTACTAGTAAAAATGTAAATGGCCTGAAAGACACTTTGAAAAAATTTGGCATTTTTTCACAACTATATTGAGGTATAATTGACATATAATACACAGACTTTAAATGTCTATGTTGATAAGTTCTGACATATGTATACAGCTGTGAAATCATCACCACAATCAAGATAATGAACATATCCATCATAAACAAAAGTTTCCTCATGCCATTTTGTAATCTCTACCTCCTGTCCCTTCCTCCCTACCCACCCCCAAGCCCAGGCAACCACTAATTTTCGTCTGTCACTATATCTTAGTCTGCATTTTCTAGAATTTTATATAAATGGAGTAATACATTATGTACTCATTTTTTATCTGGCTTTGTTCACTCAATTATTTTGAGATTCATCCTTGTTACTCTGTGTACCCATAGATCATTCATTTCTATTGCTAAATAATATTCCTTTGAATGGAAATACCAGAATTTGTTTATCCATTCATCAGTTAGTGGATAATTGTTTATAGTTTTTAGCTGTTAGAATAAAGATATGAGCATTTGGTACATGTCTTTTTATGGGCATATGCTTTCATTTGTCT